TCACGACTAGTCTGTAACAGATAGCTTGTCCAATTTCATATTTTTCAGCAGACCTATTCCATCACTCTAAGAAAAATTAGTTTGACCTGAATTGAAGGAGAACACTCATTTTGGTGCCGTGACTACAGAACATCTTATTATGGAGTATTCTGATACTGTGGTATTGCCCTTTGTTCCTACTCTTGTGTTATTGAGTTTAAAAATATTGTTCTTTAAGGAAATGACATTTAGTCCATTAGCAGTTCTCTACTGGACATTAGACTTTCACCAATCCTGTAAAGATCCAGGACTTCCATCTCACAGTTAAAGATTCAGAAGGAAGAATCGCCAATAACTGGTATATCCAAAATAGTTGTACACATTATTTCCCTGAGGATCGACTTCAGTGTAAAGGAGGCACAGATGCTGAAGGGTCATCCGAGTAATGTGGCATCTAGTGAGTATGAGACCAAATGGCATCTAGTTAGTATGAGACCAAATGACATCTAGTGAGTATGAGACCAAATGAAATGATCTGTATCTGATTTCCAGAACTTTGCCAACCAAAGTAACTCGGACCCAGCTCTGTGTGAAGCCACTCAAGAATGGTTAAGATAGACGGTAGGTTTGTTAGTGGATGATGTACGCTAACAGGATATGTTCCACTGGCAGGTGAGGTGGCTGGCATTGAATGGAGAAAAAGGTGAACCATCAGGTGGTGGTGAGCCTTACTGAGCCAAGATGTAACCAATGGTCATGGAGAAGTCTGGGCCTGTATAGTGCTGATAGATGAGTTGCCTATGGTAATTCACTGCTCTGCTGCTCTGGAAGTAAAGGTCCTGCTCATTGATTAAAACAGATCAGGCCTCAGCATTCAATGATACATTGAAGAATTATTTGGACCATTTCCTGTAGTGTTTCAGACAATTAACTGATTGAAATGGTTGGTCTTCAGAGCAAGTTGTATAATGCCTGATCTTGAGTCTAGACAGTCTGGCCCTAGACCACGCACTTGAGTAAGGTGTAACTCTAGGATATTGAGACAGTTATTGCTAACTTGCGCAGAAAGTTTGACCCGATGTAAAACCAAGCAATCCATTGGGTCGAGGTCAAAAAATTGAAAGAGTGGTAACACAGAGAAAATATAAAAACAATGATAGAAATATGATGGATAAATACTTAATAACTAATATGATTTATAATGAAATTAACTAAATCAGAAACACAGTAAAGCCTGCCCCGTAGTGGCTTTGGTAGATCACGAGGATATCTTCGTTGATAAGTTTAAAAAAAGATAAGACACTACCTGGATGTGAGATATCTTCTCGCTCTTACTGAGACGGTTTCTGTAGCAATGCAGTGTGAAGTAGTAACTTCAAATCAATTGCTAGAGAAAAAGAAGTCTGCAGCTGAATGTTAACTAACCAACCATACATCCCGTCACTGCAATGCAACCATAATACCCACACTGGTAACCAGTGAATGGATAGGACTATCAAATAAGTCCTCCCATGACTTAGATTCTGAAGTCTATGTCGATGATGCCTCCATTTATACATCAATCTGAAGAAAGGAGGGAAGCACTTGCTTTACCTATAGAGCATTGGGTCACTTTTAAGTGGACTGCCCTACCTTGCGGAGAAACAAGGTAGATATGCCTATGAGTTTTGACCAACGACTCAGCAGGTGTACGAGAATCAACAAAAAGTATTGAACAATGATAGTACAAGCTACTCGAGGATGAAACAGACAGATTGAACTGAAAGGTTTGGTGGTCAGTTTAGCTGTTTCATGGGTGTGTACACTTGGTAAATGTTTGTGAAAGTATAATGCCGAGAGATAAGGCTCCTGATTGATACAGATGTGGCTATGAAAGTTGTACATCTTGTGGTATATTAGTTTCTCCTAGAAAGACCAACATTCGAGCCAGTTGACACAAATTTCGCTCTGGATAATGGAGATGAAATAGACTTGAATGGAGTGGTGCCTCTTTGATTATGGTGACCAGGTATTTGTAGTTTAAATTAAAGACGGCTATGCCTAAACCCTAGAGGTATTTAAGAAGTTTGGTTAGTCTGCCTGCTGTTTAGGTTGAAAATTCTAATACCGAGAAACAACTGGTGCACTTTATAAAGGTTTTTCTATATCACAACAGCGATTGACGTCATAAGCTCTATTAATCCTTTCGATCTAACGCTTATGGTAGTATTAAAACCACAGAAATGGAAGCTAAGCATACATGTTTAAGAAGAAGTGCTTGTATTCTAAGACATTTATTTCAATTACCATCATGATTCCGAGCATTTATTTGTTAAACTCAGAGAATATAACCTTCAAGTTAATTGAGAAGTACAAATGTTTAAGAAAATCAATCTTGCGAAATTTAAAGAACTCGGGTTTAGCTGAAACAAATTGAAAAGAAAATGTTAACATCTGTCGGTTGTTCAAAACCTTTAAACAGTCTTCATACAGATTCCTAAAGTGTAGGCTATTAAGTATTAAAAATAGCAAATGTTTCCGCAGAGAGAATAAATTGTAGAAAGCGCACAAAAAATCTACAGTAATAATAAATTATCTGAAGACAAGCACTTTAATTTTTCTCAAATATAAAGTTAATTAGCAGTAAACGCGATGAAAACCTTAAGGGAGTTGAGTTAAATAAGGCGTGATTGAACCAACTGCAACAGAAAAAATAAGAACATATATAATTAATTTAAAGAAATATGCTAGACGAATACTGAATAAATAACATGACTTTTGTTGAAATTAACTACATCGGAAACAAAAGAGCTTGCAAAAATATTCATAACTTTGAGTAGATATATTGTTCTAGTAACTAACAAGAAAGACTTATCAAGAACAAAACCTCTTGGAAAGTAACATATGGCAAGAAGAGACCGACTTGCAGCTCAGGGAAGACGAGAAGAGATGATAATTACATGGCTACAAATCCAGAGTGTTTATACCTATAACACAATAATCTTCAAATAATTTTCAGTGCACTGCATGTTAAGACTCATTTTTTGGTTTGTTAGTTTTTGCTACCATGGTGTTAGAATAATAACAATTTATTACTGTCTGAAGAATTAGTCCTGTTGTATACAACGTTATTCGACTTTCATTAATTTAAACCAGATTTCTAAAGATTCTGTTGGATTTGGGTTAAATAGAGTTACCACATAGGGATGTACATTAGCTACACGATCAAAAGCTTATTTACAGTCAAAGCAATTTTAGTTGAGAGCTACAATGGATGAAAACTTTGAGTTTAGTTTCGAAAATCTGGTTTTGATACCCGGGATGGGCAGAGCACTAATCGCCCATTGTGTAACTTTGTGCTAAACAACAAACAAGCTATGTAATATAAAATGACATACGTTCACACTAGGTAATAAAACCTGTAACATGGTCAGATGGGATGCAGTTTCTAACAACCTCAGCTTCCATCAGCTCAATATGCCGATGATACAGATACTTAACCACTTTATATATGGAAAATGGATTAGTTCAGTTTCCAGATACACACACACACCGTTATAAGTTTTCATTTCGAGAAAGAGTTATTCAACATTTTGATGCACTCAGGAATTCGAAAAGCTTAAAAAGAAATAAATTTTTCGTTGAATGTTACATTTCTCACCTAAGTTTTGGACCTTTCTATGTCCGGAGTATCCGACGAACATAATTTTAAAGTATGGAGGGTCTAGTTACTTATATAATATCGGATTAAACCCAAATATGTAATCAATGTAACTGCAAAGATACTTATAAATTATTTTATTCTCGTTTTTACTTTGGAGTGGCCCCCCAGTGGCACAGCGGTATGTCCGTGGACTTATAACGCTAGAATCCGGGTTTCGATAACCGTGGTGGGCAGAGCATAGATAGCTCATTGTGTAGCTTTGTGCTTAATTACAAACAAACAAACTTTGGAGTGTAAGCACGCATGGGTGTGCGTATGGATGGGTGTTATGTTCAGAAAGATATTTTACTCAAATGTAAAGTAGTTTTGATAATTCAGTATTGAAGATTTTATGATATTTTGCTTGTCCATTCTAATCACCAGCATATTCAAGTAGTGAAGCTTCTGAATTCGATATTAATAGGATTTAATATTTGTGTATTGGATCGTCTACTTTTCAATGCAATATACCACCAAATCAAATTTCGAAAATCTCGTTTTTCAGTATTCAAAATTGTTTGTTCAAAATCCTAAGTTTGTGGATCTTCAGCCTTTCCATCAAAGAGATTAATTAAGCTGAAGTTAAACAATAGGAATTTTAAATAGATATGTAAAATCATTTAATGATTACAACAAATTTCTCCGGTCTACTTTTAATTAATTAAACGAAGACTTTACTGAAAAGAACACACGAGCTTCCAACAAGATAAATTTTCAAATGAACCTTCTAACTCTTCCAACTTAATTTCCATAAATATATGTTCAATCTCTGTACTTATGTTCTTAGAAGACGTTACACACGTTATTTTCATTGGTATTGCCAAATGACACCTCTCGGCTCCAGACATCTCTATCATTGGAGTAGAAGTTTCTAGAATAGCCTGTGTACCACTTAATGACTTCGTGTAGATTGAAACTAAACCTTATATTTATATGGTTAATTTTCATATATTTGAAATACGCCTCATATACAATATTGTTGGGAAACAAGTTTATCTGACACAGTTTAGGGGAAACGTAAAATCTGAGTTCCCTCTCCAGTGTGTTCCGAATGTAAGATATAAGAATAATATCAGATCGACAGTTGAGTTGAGTCACCTACGTACCAATATTCGTGTTCAAAAAAAGATATAAAAAATACGCTTTTAGTAGATCTACTGTTATTTTACTGACAGAGGATTTTAAGGTCGTACCTGTATAATTGAGCATAATGACATTCGTCTGTATCATAATCAAAAGAAGTAGACCAGTATAAGCAGTGTTAATATTAAGAACATAAAATTAATATCCACTTAACCAGTAATTGAACTTCTGCTCATGGAGACAATCACTTTATTTTCCATATTAAATATTATATCACACAAGAACAGGCTATCGCGACTATGTCACTAGACCTTCAGGATATATTTTATCTATAGTAATGATATATATATACACACGTTTACAGCAAAATGAGTTATCACCCAGGCTAGATGTTAATCTATATCACTAGAATGGAAACATTACAGACGCACGAGTTACCACCCAGGCCAGATGTTAATCTATATCACTAGAATGGAGACATTACAGACGCATGAGTTATCACCCAGGCCAGATGTTAATCTATATCACTAGAATGGAGACATTACAGACGCATGAGTTATCACCCAGGCCAGATGTTAATCTATATCACTAGAATGGAGACATTACAGACGCATGAGTTATCACCCAGGCCAGATGTTAATCTATATCACTAGAATGGAGACATTACAGACGCATGAGTTATCACCCAGGCCAGATGTTAATCTATATCACTAGAATGGATACATTACAGACGCATGAGTTATCACCCAGGCTAGATGTTAATCTATATCAATAGTTCATCGAGGGTTTAGTTTTTCACATATCAACACTGATGTGACGGTTATATGTTTTATATCAAGTATATTATCACTGACAGCACAGTACCACGGTATTTGTATTATTTTTTTGTGTTCGTCTATCCCTCGGTTTTTGGATACACGTTTCACTCACTCTTTTAAAATATTTCTGAATGAATAATTCAATAACTTAAAATTATCATTATGTTTAAAACAATGTTATTTATTTTTGTACTGGCTTATAGCATAAAATCATTTACTAGTCGTCTTAGATGTTCACAAATACTTTGTTAATCCATTTTTAGATAACGTTTCATGGACCTTAAGATATTTAGACGATGACTAACAAGTTTAACACCTAATCCTACCAGATCGTTATTGTCCATGTTCGCTAATTTTGCACCGTTTATTCCCGCTTCCAAAAATGCTGATTTATATTCAGACAAAAGTAGGCTATCCAGCCAGTCTGATACATCGGTAATGGACCAATGCTGGAGTGGTTTTCGACGACACTCTTTCCCTTCCGTCAAAGTTGGTTGCTCGCTTGATAGTACAGTAGAAAGAATCTTACCAGGAGCCACACGAGATGAAGTTGGAAGTGGCTGTTGTTTATGTAAAGGCACAGACTTTCCTGCTAATGGCCCGTCAATTCCAAATGGATATATTGTCTTCTCTATGTGATTGGAAGCATGCTGTTCTAGAAAAGTGATTGTTGAATTAGAGTGACTTGTAGACCAACCAGATTGTGATAAAAATTGTTTTTTTCCTTTCACTCCCAATACAGACATACCATCACTAAATTCGGGAGGTGGTGATATAGTCGTTGAAAGATGATCATCCGATGGTGTAAGAACAGCAAATTCAGGTGGTGGAGGCAAGAACTGTAGGAGACCACTAGAACTAGAGTTCGTGTTTCTGGCTACACTTTGAGGTTTATATGAAATATCAGCTGTACCTAATCTTTTTTGTTGGGATTTGTTTCCACCCCTTCCTAGAAATCCTTCATATTGACCCTCTCTGATTGGCTCTCCAATCTGCGAGGAGGTTTGGACTTCTCTTTTGGTTATGTAATTAATATAACCGTTCATACTGGAAACGTATGTCTGATCGTTAGGAGGAAATTCATACTCATCCTGATCTTCTTTTGCTAGATTATTTGGAAAAGAGTGGGAAGGTCTGATCGTTCTTATTTTAGAAATAATATCTCGCTGATCAGTCCCAACATTTCTGCGATTGGGAAGAGTTGAAGACCTGTATACAGGTTCATGGACACTTTTTTCAGCTTTTTTACCTCTTACAGGTTCAAACGCAGACTTTCCAGATCTTCTGTCAAAATGTTCTTTTTTATCATTATTATATTTTTGGAGGTCTGTGTAAGGATATGAACATGACTGATAAGTTGGCTGAGCGTTCCTTTTCGGTAAAACTAACTGATATTTTTGGTTCAAAATAGTATAATCCCCAGAGGAAGAGTGAAAACTCCCGTGATTGTATAACATTGTTGCATTATTTGAACTCTGGGAATCATTGTTTTTCGACATGTATTTTTGAAGGTCAAATGAATACCTTCCGCAAGGAAATGTGGATCGATTAAAGTCAACCTGTGATGAATGAACTTGACAGGAACCATAATTCAGTGTACTTTCATCAGCTTTCCCGAAAGTGGAAAGTTTTCCAGTTTTATTTAAGAATGAGGAAAGATCTTCCTCCTCGCTACTATCAATTTCCAGACTTGAAGAGAATTGATCTTGAGGTTTGGGGGCTAGCAATGGGTAGTGATTAGGGCTACCCAAACTACTTCGATTGTTTAACACACTCCTGACTTTGAAATACCTAGCTGCTCCACTTTCTACTGAACTTTGCTTACCGTAGAAACCACTAGCATCACCGCTACTTTCCGATTCCGACGATGTCTGGTGACTCACGACTCTAGGTTGCACTGATTGAGGGCGTGCAACAGCCCTAGAGAGCGTGCGTTGTGTTATCCTACTTTTTTGAAGAGGTTTATAGCCAACAGTGATCAGTGATTCAGGGGAAGCATAAAGCTTGGCGCTATCTCCTGGCCGAAAACTAGACATCACTGTATCATCATAGTTTGTTACAGCATCTACATTTGCATATTCACCTTGTACTCTGGATATGTCTACGCGGACAACTTGCCCATGAGGAGGAGGTGGAGGAGGTCCACTGGGTGGCGGATACTGTTTTCTAGGTTTTGGTAATAGCAGTGTTTCAGCATAGACTCCTTGGCGTGCTTCTTCAGTTCTAGCTACTGTTGACTGTGGCCAGTTATTTCGTTCGCTAAAATTACTGTATACATTGTTAATGCCAGCCCACGGTGACGAGTGTATCTCTTCAGCTAAATATGTTTCTTCATTTCTCGATCTAACAGTTTGTAGCGGAAACTTACATTCATCAATATTTTTTTCGGCGAGATTTCGCTCTTCACTATTAATGTTTAAAGACTGTGAGCACCATTTGTTTCCACTGGCAACCTTTTCAATTTCTACGGATCTTCTGTAATCTTTTCTGTAGTTATGCGGAGGACATGCCCAGGAATGCACATGATTTTTATCACTGGAAGAAAAAAATGTGTCGAAACTTTTAGTACGTTTGCAAATATACTTTTGAACATTATTTACTGCACATACAGATGCTTTTGCCAATTCTGGACAACTATTAAACTTTTTGTGGAGTAGAAAATGACGATTTCTGTTTAGCAAAATCTCAAAGTCATCGACCATTCGTGAGGGCTCTTCACTAGAATATTTGGTGACATATATGGATTTCTGTAGTATGGGTTCAAGGTTCTGTTGTTCGGTTTTTGAGTGATGCCTACCGTCCTCAACGGATACAATAAAACTGCTTCTTGCTGATCTACACTCAAAATAATAGTCTTGAAGTCGATCTTCCAGAGAATCTGAAATAAGGATATATAAGTTTAATATGGATGTAACGGTACAAAACAGGATCAGAAGAAAGTACTTACTTAATGAGGAAATTACATAGATATCGTAAATATTCTTTATTTTCCTACTAAAAATTGCAATAAATATAAATTTTCAACACTTGGAATTTTCACATTGTGTTACTGAGGATTTAACTTTATTTATTACTTCCTGTTGCCTGCTCCACGTGTTTTGTTAAGTGAAAAAGATTAATTAAAGTTAGATTAGTTGTGTTAGACACACCTCATAGTATGTTTAATATATCATTTTTCTTTTTATCACATTTATCATGTTTATTTTTTAATTATAGTACTAATATTCCAGCTGCTTATTGTAAATTTATCATTTTGTATTTACATAGTCGTTAGTTTTGCTGCATTATTGGTAATGTCATGCTACTTGATTCTATACTTAAGCAGTAATATTGTCGTAGCAATTCATCTCAGATGTCAGGCTCCTCTATAGCTAAACTGTCGGAATCGTTTAATGGGTTTTGAGTGGCTACAAGGCGTTTTTTGAAAGAAATGTGTGAAATTTTGCTTATATGCAGTTATCCCGATGTTAAGTGTTTATGTGTTCTGTAAATAAGTTGTACTCTTTTCTTTCTTTAGTCTTCCTTTCATTAAAAACATTGATTAAGATATTTAATATATCTAATTTTATTATCTAGAACTTTGTATTATTAAAGTTTTGTTATATATATATGGTTATGATTTCTTAGCTTAGTATATGGACTTAGGACTAACTTCAGTCTCCTAAGCTAACTGAAGAAAGTGAAATGTTATTGGGTTTACGGCCGAAAATATCGTTAACAGCAAAGCACTCAACTAATGAAACAATGCATCTAATCTTTACTAGTAGGAACGTAAGAAAAGTATATCCCATTATCTATACTCATTAGCAGGTTATTCTTCGTTTTGACCTAAGAAGGTAGCTATATTTGATCAGAAGTTAATATTAACTACTTACAAGATATTCAACATATCTTAACACCCTTTCCAGCTGAACAGTTGCGAGATATTCACATGTATTAATACCTTTCCAAGCTGAACAAGTACTAGCCGTTATTAATATTCTCAGTAAAACTTTCTGTTTGCATTTGTGTACAATGTTTATCACGTTATAAACACTCGCAATGTTGTACAATCAAACAACGTATAATACATTAAAAACCTGGTTATCTCCAACTGCATACATTTTAATCCAAGAGGATAAAGTAAGTAATCTTATTCATCCCGTGTTATCTTATCAAACTAAATACGTCCACCGGTGGGAGTGCGGTATGTCAATTGACTTACACCATTAAAATCCTTAAGATCGATTCCCAGTGGTGGACAAATCAGAGAGCTCAATGTAACTTTGCTCTGAAACAAACAAACTAGGCACTCGTATGTTATTCCTATTACCTTCATTACATATTTTAAAAAGCATTAAACAATCAACCAGTTTTTTTATTATGCTACACAACAACATATAAAAACGAACTTACTTCTTTGCTAACATGTTTGAATATTTAGAACGTTTTAGGCAGCTGTTTTCTAAATTTAAGATTTACAACTGTCATTTATAAACTATAAGAAACATGAAATAAATTTGAATTGCAGGATACAACTTAATATTAACGTTTTATTTCAGATATTTAAAAAAAGGAAAAAAAAGAGTTAAACACAGTATTTGAACTTTATTGGTTCCAGATACAGCTTTACATCAGAGCATCTTTTATCTCTGTCATTAATAGTTACTTTTTATGTCTGTTTGTTTGAAGTTAAGCACGAAGCAACACAATGGGCTAACTGTGCTCTGGCCACCACGGGTATCGAAACCCAGATTCTAGCGTTGTAAGTCCGCAGACATACTGCTGTGCCACTGGGGGCGTTACTTTTGTAATTACATTTAAGTATCTTTCAGTTAATATTAATTTATTTTATAACTACAACATTAAATATTCAAGAATATTCACAGAAATAGTTGATTTCCCAATAATATTTAGGTATTTAAGAATCTTTCTATTCGAACTTGGTAAATTTTACAATCGTTCTATTAAAAATAGCTAATTTTACAAAGGATATTTAGCTTTCAGGAATGGTTCTTTGTCATAGACAGCAAATTTTTCATTAATGCTTAGATATTCATGAATCGTTCTTTATCACATATAGCTAATTTTGCAATATTATTTAGGTATCCAGGAATGGTTCTTTGTGATATGTAGATAATTTTGCAATAATATTTAGATATCCATAAATCGTTCTTTCTCTTAATATAACGTTTTGAGACAACATGGGACCTATTTGTCCATTTTTGCTGTTCCATCCTAAATACTAAACTAAATCTATTAATAAATAAATTACAAAAAAATATTAAAGCCAGCCCTTATCATTCGTATACTTATCAAGCTTTTTTCTCAAACTCACTTAAATTTACTGCCCCCACAACATCCGAAGGCAACCCATTCCAAAGGCCAACCAGCCTGTTAGAAAAATATAACTGTCTTAGCTGAAGATGACTCCAACCCTGCCAAAAATTGTGTCCTCTAGTCGTACTATCCTCACTGTTAAGTATGAAATAAGATGATGCATCAACAATGTCAATTCCCTTTACAATCTTAAACACCTCAATGAGATCCCCCTTAACTCTTCTCTTTTCAAGAGAAATTTCAACCTCTCCTCGTATGACAACCCCTCCATCCCTGGCACCATTCTAATAACCCTTCTCTGAACCCTTTCCAACACTTCAATGTCCTTCCTAAGGTATGGAGCCCAAGACTGAGCACAATACTCTAATTAACCAGGGACCTATATAATTAAAGTATAATCTCTTTAGACTTGTATTCAATATTTCTGTAGATATAATCTAAAATCCTATTTGCCCTACCACTAGCAACACCACACTGCTTCAATGGCTTTAGAGACTTATCAAGTATCCCTTTCCTTCATAACACTAAGGTTATTCCCATCCAAATTATACTTATAATTCATATGATGATAACCTACACGCATTATCTTGCATTTATTATAAATAAAACCTATTTGCCACTTATTTGCCCAACTCACTAAATCCTATTGTAAATCAGCAACATCCTCTTCACAGCTAGCAACACCCAAGACCTTAATAGCATCTGCAAATTTAAATAATGTATTGACCATTCTTTCACCTATGTCATACTATTAATTTCCCAATAATATTTATCTCTGAATCTTTCTTTGTTATACGTAAGTAAATATATTTTTCATAACCACAATTTATTTTACGTTTAGTAATATTTTAAACTTATAAAATCTTAACGCTAGAGGAAAATACGTGTAGTTTGTATCAATGGTATTATATTATTGGTATACAAAATAACATATACTCCCACTTCCCGGATTAAAACTTTTTATAATTTTGATTATTTGTATTTCAGAAGTTACTAATTTGCTGCTATTACTATACCGACTGAATTTGGAAATGTTATCGACAATAAAGTGAAATCTTTTCAAAGCTACATTTTTTAATGTGTTTATATACTGCTGTTTGTTTTTTGTTTTGAATTTCGAGCAAAACTACACGAGGGCTATCTGCGCTAGCTGTCCCTAATTTAGCAGTGTAATACTAGAGGGACGGCAGCTAGTCATCACCACCCACCGCCAACTCTTGGGCTACTCTTTTACCAACGAATAGTGGGATTGACCATCACATTATAACGCCCCTACGGCTTAAAGGGCGAGCATGTTTGGTGTAACGGGGATTCGAACCCGCGACCCGCAGATTGCGAGTCAAGCGCCCTAACCACCTGGCCATGCCGGGCCTTATATAACGCAATCTGTCTTCTGCATGTTACACATGCCCTCATCATTTCTCTCATTCTAAAAATATTTCTGCAAACTTCTTTAAAATAATGGTCACAATATTCAATTCAATTATTTAAATATAATAACATAAGTTCTCCTTGTTATTTTCGAGAGTAAAAATGTATGGTGTAAAATAAGGAGTATTTTCTTAAAACTCATCTATCGGTAAAAAGCGTAATTTTGGTTTCATTCTGATTAATAATGAAACAATTTTGATGTCTACTAGGGTTATGTGAGTTACCTTTTTTCATGCTAGTACTTTCAATTCATGAATATTTTAACAACAATTAATTTGAAAAATTACAAAACTACAATAATAAAAATATTGCTTTATTGCTTACCAATATCTGCTAGGCCTGTTACCATAGACCTCGCTCTAGCTCTTCCAAAGGATAATGTGGTTCCTGGATCACGCTTAGGTGGCGTTGGTGCTGTCATGGTATTAAATGTTTAATTTCCGAATTCATGAATCAAATAATGTTTATGTAAGTGAAATGTAAAAATAAAACAAGAGAGTTTATTGAACATTCACAATCAAACATTTTAACTCAAGATGACAAAGTTAGTTTTACATCTAGTTCATATAAATATTTTACATTAAAGTGTTCACATGTTATGAAAACAAGTTTATAATGGTCCGTCATTTTCAAAGTATATAGGCTACACATCAAATCCAACCTTGCAAATATATCACATTAATTCAAGTTTAGTTTGTTTTAGTGCAAAACAACACAGTAAGTTGTCCCAGATTTTAGCGTCGTATGTTCATGTATTTATCGCTGATCCACTGGTGGGACAATTAAAAGTGGAAACGGCCTGTCGTAAAATATTGATATAAACTATATGTCACAAAATTTGAATTCAACAATAAAATAACTTTACTGAAGGCATCATCAATGTTTATGGGTCTTTGACCCATTAAAACATGTAGAAGCATGTTGATAAGGCTTGGTAACTTCAATAAAAGTTTATATTGTGTAATTTAAGCATTACGTCATCTAATTTTCATGAATACATTACATTATTTGTCAAATTCAAGCGACAATATGTATTTTAGTTATACATCCACTCAAAAAACTGTTTAGAAATAAACTTCTGTTAAAATTAAATTGAAAAACTAGGGTAAAACTAAAAGAAAGTGACACTTCGTATGTTTGTTGTTAAGCCTAAAGCTACATAATGGATTATGTGTACTCTTCTCACCAAGAGTATGATACCTGATTTTTAGCATTATAAGCCTTCATACTTGCCGCTGAGACACCGGTAGTCGAAAACAATACTAAGCCATAACTTTCAGTGATAGGTTATGCACTGTGTTATATCATAAATATAACTATATTTTTGCGTCACCACGGCATGTTTATCTTGAATTATAACATCTATTTCGGTAGGTACCAATTTTTTTATATCGTAATCTTTACTGTTCATATGAAGCAATATTATTATAACAAGATAATTAAAAACTTTTAATTTAAAAAGGGAATAGGGGTCGTCAATGAGTACAGAAACAAGTTGAATCAAGATGCAAAGATTATATTTTCAAGCCTACAACTAGGGAGTATATAAAAAAAGTAAACAAACTAGGCTGAAAACAGTGTCTATAACATTTTCTCAAGCTACAACTCCCTATTTTGGCTCCACTAAAATTGATAAGTACTGTAGACATGGAGTCAAAATAGGGACTTGTATCGCTGAAGTTCCTCGGGAAGAATTTATACCGGAAATTAACAAACGACCAGTGACGTAACAATACTAAAACTTTGTCCTTGACCAAGGTTACTGATCAGGGGTGGAATTCCCCAAAACTTGTATAATTCAATAGCACCTGATAACTTGAATGATGTACTGAGCTTCAGATATATTTTTAATGTGAAATAACTTCATAAAATAATCACAATTAAAAACATTACATCATAACCAGCGAATAATAAAATTAATTACAAAGAAAAATGGAATAGGGTAATACTCACGGTGTAAACAAAAACTCCAGTAAGCTGCTATTTATTCACACGACATAAGGACAGTTATTGACATTTGAGTTTACTTTTCATTTTAAATAGTAATAAATAATATAGCAACCCTGTATACAAACATATCGTGTCACGCACTCAGCAAAACGTGTTCTCTTACCTTTCTTCAAAGACATTCTTCTTGGCACTGTAGAGCATTGTCTCTGATTAATGGGTCTTTTTGTCTGTGGAGGATTACTGACCGTTACCACTGTCATGGTAACAAGGTCTCCTGACTGTCGGATGATGGATACAACTTGGTCGTGCGTAGCTTGAGTGATATTATGTCCGTTAACCTACTTGGGTGATTAAGAATTTGTAATTTTAACATTTCGACAGATTACAGAGTGGACCGTTGCAAAAGCAATAAAAAAATTATAAATAGGAGATGATATCGCCGTTTCTTCAAGTAATTTTATATCCTTTCTTTCGTAGTAATTTTTTTTTCAGATACAAAATATCGCTCTTGCTTTCTGTTTAGTAAATAACCATTTTACAAAGAATTTTTTTGGAAGGAGATTGTATTCAACAAATATGATTATGTTGCATTCTGAAAAAAATCCCTCCGAAAATAAAAAGAATGAAATATTTTATATAAACGTGAAAAACTGTTTATTAGTTTTATCATAAAAATTGAGCTTTTTGTAAGTCACACCAATAAATGTAACTTTTTTAAATTCTAGATTGAAACATGTTTTAACTTTAGGCCTAATTATATATATGTGATGAAGGTTACATTTGAAAATGATTTATCTTTACCCTCATTTTACTTAGACCATTAGGATTTTAGCTCTAACATGTATAATAATAGCTTTTCAGAATTATATTTCATCCATCGCAAATTACTGCTCAAGAGTCTTTCGTTCATTAAATCGAACTCGTCCGTTGGTTTAGGTCAGTGCTTCTCAACTTTTTCAAATATCATTCACCTCTATTAGTTTTTCACAACAGCTCACTCACCCCAGTTCGAAAAAAGAAAAAAAAGTACTAAATGAAATTGTAAAATTGTTTATTATGACTTAAATATTAGAATCCGGGTTTCGATACCCATGGGATAGCTTTGTGCTTAACTTAAAACAAACAAACAAACTTAAATATACATCAGACTACAACTAGAATGAATACAACATAAAATAAATAAATAAATGTATTGTTACGACAGTGGAAGTCACGTGATGCTGGTAACACGTCATGAGATTCTCGAAGGATCGTTACATTTCCTGGCAACTCTAGTCTTTTCCAGGCGCCCTCTATTTTAGTATATAAGCCCGGCAAATAATTGCATAGAGGGAGAGAGATTGAAGATATGGAGACAGATAATTGAGTCAAGCGAGCGGCAGTGACCGTAAGTAAAGTGAGTGAATCGTTGTGAATTATAGCGTGTGTTTAAATTAAAGTGACTGTGGAAATTCTGTGTATTGCAAAGTTGTATTGAGAAATAATAAACTAGTTTTATTTAAGAAAGGACTTGTATCGCTGAAGTTCTTCGGGAAGAATTTATACCGGAAATTAACAAACGACCAGATACGCAACAGTATATATCAAATTACAACTAGAATAAATACTAATAACTAATAACTTTTTTTACTCTTGAATTTGTTGTATAATTGATAATACTCATTCACCCTGATTCTGATCTCATTAACCCCTAGGTGAACCATTCACTCAGTTGAGAAGCACTGATCTAGACCTACAACGACCAAAAAGGATATCTAAACTATTAAGCTTGATGCTTTCCATTATTATGGCAGCTTTTGGCGTTTCACGCTATACCATCAAACCTCAAAGAGTTAAAATACGTTTTCCCAAATAAATAGAATACGGAACCTTTCCCAAAATATCTCGATGATGCATTTCTGATTAATATTTTTAGTTAGATAAATTTAATGTTCCTTCTGAACTAATTTTATCTTAAATAAAAAAAAAACTTTCCTGGTTACCTTTATAACTTAATCTTTCAGTATTATTTACACATGACCAGAAATTTTCTGCTGTTCTTTGCTCTTCATTTAAATGTACGGGTAACACCAACAGAGCGGTTTTCGAACTGCATTAAAGTAACGGAATGGATGAATTTCAAAAGCAATTTACGTTCTGAAACTTTTTAATAGCAGATAAACGATACTTTTTACCTGTCTTTAGAGCCGATTAAAACACTGATGTTTTCAGTCTACCAAGTACAAGGGGCTTGACGAATAATATGGAAATGGGTCACTGAGCTTAACGTTCCGTAAAGTATATAACAGTTTCGCTAACACGACCGAATCAACGAAGAAATTTACGAAACATTAAACAGAACCTTCTATATTTGAACTTTTTCCAGCCTCATATGTCACTTTTCTTATTTTTTTCTTATCAGACACTTAGAATATCTAAGTAAAGTAAAGTGCAGTCTGTGAAGTGCTATTTTTATGTGGTGTATTATACTCAAGAGTGTGGACTGTCTACTTAGCTTTAAGTCTAATCTGCATAGTTTTTCAAGTTTTAAAGAATCCTGATGAGTTATTGGTAAGCTTGAGGATTTATAACACTAAAAATCGCGGTACAATATCTGTTGTAGGCCAAAACAATCTAGTTTAATATTTCGCACATATATTTAATTTATAGAATGTTTACTTCATCATTCTATATTTATGCTTGTCGGAGAGCTAATCAAGACAATTAAATGATAATTTACTGTAGATCACAAAATGTCCGTGACGAGACAGTTTTGCGAAACATCTAGAAAGAGGTGTTAGAACGAGTGTATCTATTTCCGTGAGTTAAGATTTGACTCCAAGCTTAAATTGTACAGAAATTATAGTCAGCTTTTAAATTTTGAAAGCTTTTGTTCGCTTGTTTCTACGTGTAAGGCTACATAATGGCTACCTGCGCTATTATTATTCCTTGATATATATCAATAATCCTCACTAGGTTGAATGAGGCATATCATTTCGAAACACAGCTCATAGATATGGTCAAAATTATATTTATTTTAAAAAAGATCACCAAGCTCACAATAGCTGTTCTTCAAGAAGAGTAACGATAATATCACACTTGATACTTACTTAACAATCTCAATAATAATTAAATTATTGTTATTTTTAATTCCTCGTATTGCCGTAGGAACCCATTTTTGAGTGATCAGGCCATTGCTACATTGCCATTTCTAGGGCCTCTAGAAGATTTTTGAAATTTTAATACTATGAGATTGAATCTTGAGTTATCTTAACTATAAATACTGCCTACACACAACATAATGTATTGAATTAAAATAAGCAAGTTTTAATACATAAGTTGTAGTTATACATGACATAAAAAAGTAGTCAGGCCATAGAATGACTGGCCTGACCGCTTCCTATGGCCCTGCTTTGTCCTTAAAAGCTTTAAATTTCGGGTACCCAATTTCATATAATTTAGAGAACTTGTGAAAATCAAACAATTCATATAATTTAGAGAACTTGTGAAAATCGAACAATTCATATAGTAATTTAGATTTTCTTCATTGTGTAAATCACGCTCCACTTTTTGACATCATTTGGAAATAAGGAAGAGTAGAGATTCAATCCGAACAGCCAGACATTAACGTTCATACCACGTTTCTAGAAAAAGTAATGTAAACTAAAACAATACACACCAATGAACAAAAACTTGTGCAGTTATTAGAATGTATCTCAATACTATAAAAAAATTCAAACCTCCAGCACAAAGTCTCCTTTTTTCATTCCCGCTTGATCAGCAACGCCACCTCGATCTACATCATCAAGGTACTGCAAACTTGGCCAAGCGTAAGCTCTCTGTCTCTCCATAAGAGGACTGGTTGCTGCAACACATTCCAAAATATCAAAACCACATCCGTGCATCACTTGCATGAAAGAAGAAGACTGATAGAATGGAGTCTGCCTCTAAGACATCGATATATTATGTGGAACATTTGTAATTTATGCCAAAGATCATGACATCAACTAAAGTGCAGTTATAATCGTTGTTTCATGTAGCTAGTGTTATAATTTTGATTTGTATGATATTATAAATAAAATCCAACTTAAACCTTTTAAGAAGTAGAATTACAGTTTATCTGAACAATTTATAAGCGTCAAACTCTGACTGTTACCATCACCAATACTTACTTTATATTGTGGTCAACACTAAAATACCAATTTTATCTGACGGTTTCCACTTCAATACCTGTTTTATTTGACGGTTATCGCTACAATAGCTGTTTTAGTTGACGGTCAACACTGCTATGCTTCCTTTATTTGACGGTCACCACTAATAAACTTTTTTTACAGAGGTTAAGTACTTCAAATTAAAACGATTTCGAAACCTCAGCAAGTCGTTACAATCCATATCGCCACGTCCGGTCATGCTCTCTCTGACGACCGTACAATTTGACAATAGCTCTGCAGCGTAGTTTCCATTACGAAAGGCTTCATCGTATGCCTGTCTTGCTCAAAGCAGACCATTCCCGTCGGATGCTTTCCATTAACGACCTAGTATACAAGGAAGACGGTTTACCAACGCCAGTGTCAACAGGCTGAAATCTATAGTTGTTGCGTCAGGCAACCTGACTGGTATGTCTTCGTGTTGAATAGAACGAGCACTCGTTTAATTCTCCTGCTGCTTAAGGTATGCGACAGCTGAACAGATACATTGTGAAAACAATTTGTGTATGTATAGGTGACATGTGTTGCTTTTTTAGACGGAGATCCTTCTTGATTTTGTTGCATACTATTACCTGGGATACGTGGGCGGCTTTGTTACTGACATTTGTGTTCGAGAATTTTCACCTGTTACAAGACGCCGCACTTTGCTTACCACGCCTGGTGGTAAGACTTGTTGCAAATCTCTTTCTGGAAAGTTCTGGAGTCCCAAGTTAATCCTTGTGTCTAAACTAATATCTAAACCTTTTTTAGCGTGAAGGCTTATTTGATTCATTAATGGCTTTTATTGCTTGTAAGTACACAAGTTTCTTGGTTGAATAGTTAAGTGTAGTAAAATAAATAGAACATAGATTATTTATTTACTCCTGGTAGAGTAGCCAAGATTCTAGATTTTGTATTTTATAAATATCATTTTAATGTAAATCTGAATAAATTTTGATACACAAAATTCAACTTACAATTTAAAAAACTTTATCAATAAATATATATATAAATGTTATAAAATAATCCAACATGTACCATTTAGTTTCAATAGCAAAGTTTCCACCAGATCTGATGATATTATAAGTGATAGAAACAAAGCTAAGTATGATACATTTTAAATTATTGTGTTCTTAAAGGTTAATAAATTGGGAAAAAATACAGAAGTTGATAATAAACCATTGAACTAAACTGGAAACAAGTGTGATATTTAAAACGATAGTTTATAGTTTGCAAATACCACAGTTCTAGTAATTTTTATTTTATTGTAAGTGTTTTTGGTTTTATAATACATACCATATTTCTTTCCTAGAAAAGCTGTCAAGTACAAAATCTAATATTTTTATAATACTTGTCTTGATATACATTATATTGCCAAACATATCTGGGACATCATGCACAGTCTCAAACAGCCATACCTAATGGGTCCATCTCCACTGAATATGCTTGTGAAAGGCATGATGCAACGCAGCATAGGGTTTTAAAAAGTCAGTAACAAACAAGGATAAACTGTTACTAGTGTTAGGGTCAAAATGATTGGAACAAAGGATCTTAAATAGCTTCAGAAAGAGGAATTATTATTGGCCCTCTGAACTTAATCACCCTGTGACTCTAGCGAACTTGAAGCGTACTGCTGATATGGCATATAATCAATCACCAGGACGTTAATGATAGTACAAGACTCCCGCTTGTCACAGCAGTGAATACAGCTCTCGTGAAACTTTGAGTGACCAAACTGGGAAAAGAGACAATGAAAAAAAATCACCATGTTGAACAATAAATCCCGCTATTTGTTGTTTCCATAGGATGGACAAGTCCATCTTAACAGCAGCCTGGAGAACACTTTGGATACGGCTGTATTATCTTAATAGTGAAAAATAGTGGGTTTGTATTATGTTTAGTTGATGTGGTCCTTGGTACACTGGCAGTCGTTAAGGAAGCCAAGAATGCCCATGATGCTATAACATTCCGGACAATGTTGCGTATATTGATAGAATTAATAGGGGATGAACACGTCTCTATCAGCATCATATTACACTATACTAAACCACACTCCTTGCCTAACAGTGGTTTGAATCTTCCATAGCCAGCTCAAAGTCTCGACATGAATTAGATTGAGCTGCTTTTGGACATTTTAAAACGCCGCCGGAAAGGTAGACAAGACAGACCCCGAAGTCTCACTATATTTTAAGCTGCTTTGTTAGAACATTGGCAATGTACTCATCTAAAAGTGTATTAAAGGCTGGTGAAAACTATTTGAACAGACACTAGACTATGGTTAACGTAAAAAGTGAGCCCATTGGACCCCTACTCCATTTCAAGGTGTGCTGTCGCAACACTTTTGGTAATATACTTCATTTGTTAACAGAAGCTAAAAACGTCCAAAACTTTTATTGCCCTCCTTTTTGACTCAAGATCAAAGTTATAAAAATAGCATACATTTGAGAGCTAAATAAATTACTTATGGTTTGTTTGTTTGTTTTTAATTATGCACAAAGCTACACAAGGACTATCTGTGCTCTGCCCACCACGGGTATCGAAACCCGGTTTCTAGCGTTGTAAGTCCGCAGACATACCGCTGTGCCACTGGGGGAGGGGGCATTACTTATGGTATGATCAGAAAACAATATACCTTTAGCTCCACGGAGAACAAAACCAAAACCTTTTTTCCCTTTATGGAGGACTACTGTACGAGGCGAACCATCCCTGTAACGATTGAAATAAAGTAAAATTATAAACAAATGTTTAAATATGAAGAAATTATATACATATTTGGATTCTGTTAAACAATGTTAACATTAAAGATACCACGCTTAAGTTATTTACGATATCATATTTTAGTTAAACCTGTGACTGACAGCTTAACCAACTAGTATCTACTATATAACTGTGACCCATATTCAATTATACACGGAAAATAAGAGAAATTCAGCAAATTTTCATCACGAATATTAAATTTTAATGTACAAATTATTTACTATAACGTTTAAGTTAAAATGGTAAACCAGAGAATAATTTTAGGGTTCTGCTATTGTTTGTTGGAGTATTGATAAGAAAGGAACTATTTAACCATCTGAAGAATGTCAAGTTTCATTAAACAGTTTGATATACCACCCATTACATCATTAAAACTAAAATTAACCGTTTTGTTATTAAAACAATAAAAGACAAATACTACTTTAAAAAACTTTGCAGTTCACTATTGGGGTTGAATATATAAAAGTTCTATTTTTTTCTTATTTATACTACGTCTTCTTTTTACTACATGCGAGTTGGGAAAGTTTGTTTTGAATTTCGCGCAAAGCTACACGAGGGCTATCTGCGCTAGCCGTCCCTAATTTAGCAGTGTAAGACTAGAGGGAAGGCAGCTAGTCATCACCACCCACCGCCAACTCTTGGGCTACTCTTTTACCAACGAATAGTGAGATTGACCGTCACATTATAACGCTGAAAGGGCGAGCATGTTTGGTGGGATGGGGATGCGAACCCGCGCCCCGCAGATTGCGAGTCGAGCGTCCTAACCACCTGGCCATGCCGGGCCAGTTCGGGAAGAAAGAGAATCATTCGGGCTATAATATAAACCTCAAAGTTTGCTTTATAACAGCTTTACTATTTGACTAAGTTAAGAGTTGTCTGTGTTGTCAGATGTTTCTGGATTGTTTAACTTCTATGGATTTTATGGATTTAATTAAGAACATATTTTAGACTCTAATGTTAACACAAATGGAGATTTGTTTTTTTTAGTGAATTATTTTGTTCTTTGTTTGCTATTGAAGATTTGTGTAACTTATTATTGAATAGTAAGTATGCATACAAATACACGCTTAGAGAAATCATGTTATCTGTTGTGTCTGGTAATATTTTGTTACTGTTTTAAAATACAGTTACACTCAACAAGAACTTCTAAGGTTAGGCTGTAATTTGATCAAGAATCAATAATGTCTGGCATGAAAGAGATATCCTAGGGGATAATTTATTAACATATGTCATGGACAGTAATGTTTCGAGCCTGTCTTTCATTTGAGCCAGTTGAGGTGAGTTTCTTAGAACTAACTAGCTGGTACATATATAAAGGCTAAACAGTCATTGTTAGTTAAACCTAAGTGAAAGAAGAATGGCCAATATAAAACGCTAAATGAGCAGCGTGTAAATTCATGGTTCTATCTCCGCTGCGGAGACAGCACAGATGTTCATTATTTGGCTAGCACTAAAATAAATAACAATGAATCACATATAACAACTGATAAGTTTGATACTAACATCTTCCACTTTCTAGGCATGGAATGAACTCTCCTGAGCAGCATATCTTGACCATCCGTATGACGTCCATCAACTAACTTTTCCACCCTTGGTTTAATTTCCTGTACACAGGATGAAGGAAAGAGCCCCTCTTGACCATTGGCCAGTCTACCTTCTAGTAGCTCACAGTCGGAGATCCCAACCACTAGAGAAGACGTTTTAGTGGAGTTGTACAAACACTGAATAGTGGAGTTGTACAAACACTAAAAGATCATGCATGAACTTCTGTCTTCCATTAATTTTAAGTCATAGTATTATTTTCTGTAATTATGTATTTCGCAATTTAATATATATATATATATTATTTTATAATTTCATTGCTCATAGAATTATTTTACTGGAATTGTACACAAAGTTAACATAAATATTTAATGGATGTATAACTACGCAATCAGTATTACATTTCAAACATTCAAATCGCTACATATTTGCTATAAATGTTCGTTACTACTTGTTATTGTTTTTAAATGCACCCAACTTCAAAATTTATGAAATAGTTTAATTAACCCCATCCAATGTTTCTACAGAAAACTTGTAATGGTATTCAAAGGAAAAACCAAACTGCTGTTTTGTTTCCAAAGCAATCGATATAAAAAAATAAATATATTAAATCTGCACTTTAACATTTTTCTTACCTGTATAAACGTTATAAAGTTGACGATATATTGGATTTATTGTACGAGAAACGTTGAACTAGGCACTTAATTTATTACAGTATTACAAACACAGTGACAGTGATATATACAATGAATATATTATACCACAATCTATAAAGACAGTAACGGTGAACTATGCACTGAACCTATTATACCATTATAAATACAGCAACAATGAACTATATACTGAATTTATTATGCCAATACAAACACAATAATGGTAAATATATGCAATGAACCTATTATATCATTATAAATACAGTGAGGCTGGCCTGTGTGCCAAACATCATCATATAGTGAAGCACTTGGACCAATAAAATTGTGCCTTTTATGTTAACTAAACTTGGCATTATCATAGTCACTTCACATGGGTCTTCAACGGTTGAATTAGATCAGTAGTGTTACTCCACATCGTTCCTCAGAGGTTGAATGTCGCGAGTAGTGTTACTCCAAGCGAATCTCCACAGGTTAGAGTTTGGACGCCAAAAGTTGATGAAACATTAAAAACCAGTAGGCATAGATTTGTAATAAAAATAACGCAAAAACAAGATTGGCTCTCACTTTTATAAAGCACTCAACTTGAAAATGTGAAGTTTTTTTCAACAACATCGTCTTGCCAACCTTGGCTCTTCGATCCGCAGCCCGTCGCGCTAAGCAATAGTCCACACACCTGATACCAATTAGTTAAAGAGTAAGGAATTGAAAAGGAAATACAAAACGTGCTTCTCCAATGGTTGAAATATAACTTAAGTGTTACTCCAAATAGTTTTCCAAAGGTTGATATTGACGCTATGATTAATTCTGGATATGGAGACCACTTGTATTTATATTTTTACTTTTTAGAATAAACATTTTTAGCTATTTAACTAATTGATGTTTTCAAAAGCCCCCTAGTGGCACAGCGGTATGTCTGCGGACTTACAACGCTGGAATCCGGTTTTCGATACCCGTGGTGGGCAGAGCACAGATAGCCCTTGTGTAGCTTTGTGCATGATTAAAAGCAAACAAACAAACAATGTTTTCAAAAATGTCTTCCTAATTTAAGATGGCCACCATTAATAAGAAGTATTCATGTAATACGTGATGTTTTGTATTGTTGTTTTCTGATTAAATGTCACGAATTCACATATGTCTACGAACTGGTCGTGTTTTAAAGATGGTCTTATAACATTTTGGTTGTTTTATGACATTTTACTTCAGTGCTTTTGTTTACTTGTTCCATTAGAAAATATGGCTCGTGGATCAGAGAGTATTTCTATTTTATATCCACTGGTCTACGAAACTGTACGCAGTTTTATATGTCCGCTAACTGGTTTTGTATTTTCTTCTTAATTCCTTTCTCTTTAACTAATTAGTAACACGCGTGGACTGTTGATTTGAGTTCATAGCTGAGGTTCACGTTCACGTCATGATGATGTTGAACAAATTTTGAAGTTTCAGCTTGGGTGCTATATAAGAGTAACAGTCAATGTCATCATTCTGTGCAACGCCGTAGAAAGACATTTTGGTGGCGGATAATGCTGGCCGGCTTCCTTCCTCTGGTCAGTAGCTTAAAATTAGGGATGGCTATGCCTTATTCTTATGGATCTGTGACCTTACCGTTTAGCACATGTGCGTATAGCTAACTTAAATAACATAATTTAAACGTAACTTACTAATATTGGTAAAAAAAAGAGTCATACTTCTCACTTTTGATAATCAACGTCTTATTATGTTTTCAGACCTCTTCATCAATCAGTTTGTATTACAATTGATATTGGTCTAAAATATTAACACATCCAAATTGTGCAAGCGTATAAAACCAGAAACTCCACTGTCTTTTAAAAAAGAAATTCTCACAGCAGACTTGGAGAAAAGCGTATTTTGTTAATAGATAACAATGGACTCATTGTAATGCTCAGTGAAAACAAAACGTATATACATAACTATCACAGATGGATGCGAAAGTATAACTAAGAAAATCAAGAGCTATTTTTTTAAAGAGCTCAAGTTTTACAAAAAGACAGGGAAGTGGTGGAAATCTTAACCCTTTCACTGCTGCAGCAATATATATTCCTTGTGTGGAACTATTTTTTGTGTGTAATTTTGTTACAATGTTTTAAAGCCGCTAAAAGAAATAATTTATCATTTCGCTGCAGAATACTTTGTTTTTAGATGACCTATTTATTTACCTTTTAGTAGCACTCAAAAATTCTTTGCACGATATTTCAGGTCTATTGTTCTTAGTTTCGTATTTTATCAACCCTTCATATATGTACATGCAGCACACACCTTATCATTTAGATAAATATTGGTGCTTCTCAGACAGTCAACGCTTTGATTTTATCCGGAGGATAGACAGGAAAACCTTATACAAGTGAAATCACAGTTGAACCAGTTTTTTATTTGTTTTGTTTTCAAGTTTTTCATGGATAAACAGTAATAAACAGCTGCAGAAGTAAAGCGCTGAATGTCGGCGGAGCCCCAGGATTAATCCCAACACTTCTATGAAAGCATTTTATCCAGCTAATGATATGTGGTAGTCGTCTTGTGATCTACGCAACATATAATCACCAGAAAACTTGGTTAGTATTTTTGGTAGGTTCTACGGCACAACGAACACATACCGACAGATATCATGTACAGCAAGACTCAGTGAAATGGTTTAACTTGCTCAAGGAGAGTGGTACAAAGAAGCATAAAGACAAGTTAAATACAAGAACGCTGAAACGCGCAGAAAAAGAACTAACTGCGAGCACACCGCATGGCGGCGGATGTGAAAGCACAACGATGATGAGTCGCAGTTTCTCAGATACGGCGTAAGTGCATTTAGAAGACAAACTTCTTTAGCACTGATTCCACGAGTAATATGCACCGTACATTGGCTTTGGTATGGATCAATGTGTTAGGACATTTGCAGTGATTTTGGGCTACTATTTTACCAACGAATAGTGGGATTGAGCATCATATTATAACGCCCCACGACTGAAAGGGCAAGCGTGGTTGATATGACGTGGATTCGAACCCGCGACGCATAGATTACGAGTCGAGCGCCTTAATCACCTGGCCATGCCTGACGCCACGTCTACGAGCTATGGAGGAGTTGTATTTCCTCTGAAAAGCACAACGATAAACAGCAAGGCAATGATGACACAGGATATAATTTTGATGTTAAGAATTAATGAGTATTTGGATAATTGTGCTATTTGAACTGTAAAGTATAATTGTAAAATGCAATATACCTTTTATTTTCACTAATACTAGCAAGAAGAAGGGACGGCCTATCATAATAAAAAAACCTTGACATAACACACCTGCTTTTTAAATACAGTCTTTTATATTGTTCATGCATTTACGTCTGTACAGTGTTAATCGCACGATATTTGTTTGCTAATACAAGGACGTTGTTGAATATGCAAGCCACAGTGTCACAGGTAGATTTATGGCTGAATGAACATGTGACAAGTTTTATTGAGGAAGGATATTCGTAAAAACAGAAAAAAAAGTAAAGAAATACAAAGCCCGAAGCAACTATTGTGATATAGCAAATAGGCTCGGTAACAGAAGTATAGTACATCCACAAAAGAAGACAAAAACAATTCAAAGGCACATTCAACTAACGCCACTATTGCCAAAGTTTTCTAGCTGTGTGTCCTGTATTTTACCCCCAATAAAAAGTGATTGATAATAATTTATGTGTTTTCTAATTAATTGTTCATAAGATAATTCACAAAGATGTTGCCCTCCTCACTTCTAAATAACCATAAACCACAAATCCATAAGATGTTTCCCAGTAAATCATGAATACACAAGATCCTCCCAAGCACACTAGAAAACTTCAGAAAGCTATACGAAAAAAAAACACAAAAAACTTGCACTCGAGGGATGGAAATTTGTATCAATTATCAGATGAGGTTTGAGTGTATTGGAATGTTTGCAACAAGAGATGGGTGATTTGCTAAAATCATGCAGTGATAAGGACTTTTAAGAATGGTACAAAGAATGTAAATATTTTCACTAGGTTTTATATGTGTTGCAGTTTTTTCTTCTAAAAAGAAATTAAACTTCACAAAGTACGCAGTAAAGTAAAAGTAAACTCCACTTACCATCAAGGAGAAGAATTGACACTGATTGTGCGAGGTCGACTTTCCGTAATATATGGTCAGGATACCAAAGAGGTAAGGTTATGTCAAGATAACGCATCAATTTACACGTTTAAATCCACACCAACTTTTTTTTTTTACGAAACACGGAAAATGTTTGTATGTTTGTTGTAAGCTCAAAGCGATACAATGGGCTATCTGTGCTGTGCCTATCACGGGTATCGAAACCCGTTATAAGCTGTAAAACTTACCAATGAGCCACTGAGGGCACAGAGACGATGAAACCGGTGTTCATAATACCTTTTCTTCCAACACACTCGTGAAGTTAATTAACCGGCTGTGCACTTAATTTGCTTTTACGTGGTCTGAGAAGCCTATGTTCACGTGCAGCGGAGATTCTCTTACTTTGTCAAAACGTATGACCTGGTATTGACCTTGCCGTCATTATTAAAAGTTTATTGGGCAATAGCATGTAATAATGACTATGAAATTGAGCATGATCAACAATGGGGAAAATAGATCCAAGGGCAACAAAGGAGCTGAATCATAGTTCTTGTAACACTCCTTATCAGCATCAACTAAACTTTGAATATAAAGATTTCTCGTTGTCATACTGTCATAGTTGGTAATCAATACATTCACACATGTCTTTATTAATTAGTTTTACTATGTTTTATTTTTTGCTATTATATTACTAAATTATAACCTACGTTTCAACTGCTGATCTGCTGCCGTTTTTAGGGAATCTCTGAGAGAGAGATTATATGTGGTGGGAGGATCAGGATTCGATTCTCTTTTATAAAAAAGGCTGGTGTGCTATCTATTCGACCGAGGTCTCCCCGTTAGGGCTTGAATCAACTAACTATTTGAATGCATTCAAGAGAGTTATTCAAATTTTACTGACTTATTTTGTTATGTTATCCATTGAATGGATACGGAAGGTTTCTTTTATATTCATTTACTTTGGTGTAATTATAAGTCTTTTTCTCTGACATAATGAGATGTTACAGATAGGTAGGTTTTACGTGTACTTAGTGTCTATTATACTACTGAAGTCTGACTTTTTTGTCTTTTTTGGTTTACAAGAGATGTTATAAATGTTCTTTTGCTTTTCATTGAGCCTCTAAGAGCATTTTAAGAATTAACGCATTGCTGAAATCTGCTCGACAAACTTATTCGCTTCTTTGGAATATTTTATTTCTGTAAGAAAAATTAATGAAATACGCAATGACTGAATGAGTTCCTTGGGATTTTCTAAACATTAAACACTTTATTTTTAAATAGAAAACTGTAAAAAAGTGGATATTTGCTGTTTATTTTCAGTTTTGGTACAATTTGAGAATGGTATGCATCTTTATGTTTGCTTTTGCTACCATTTGTTATTTATAAACATCCTTGCATTTCAGTTAATGATAATGACAGTATTAAATAGAGAGCACACTTAGAAACAAGAAATTAATTGAAGATAGAACATTCACAACGACGACAGTTTATCTTGCAACTGATAAAAATAACATTTAAGTTCTGTGGAAAATGTTTAAATATTACAAATAATTATCCTTGGAAATGAAAATCTTTTTTTTAATGTGTTTACAATTATTTGGGGTTTCAAAAAATATTTTTTTTTTCTGGTTTGACGAACTTCAAGATTCAATATTTTGGAATAGTTCATCATGCATAGAATTACCAGTAGGGACTTCTGTTTTACAATTCTGACGTCTATCTGTCAATCAGTAGTAGCAAAGATTACAAATTTGATTGTTTAGAGATTTTCCAAGTAAACAATACCAGTAAATACTTGCGTAATATGCAAGTTATCTTTGTCAAGTGGAGAACAAACCACAATTTCCCAAGATAAGCGTATCGTCGGAATAAATCATTGAAGTGAAAAATGTGGTGATAACGTATCTGTCGAAATAGGACAAACTGTCCACAAACAGTGTCGATATATGTATACTAAATCCTAAGATATAGTCGCTGCATACAAAAGACCTAGTGGTGCTGAAAGTGAAAAGCAAATAAATATATTTTCGCTCAATGGAACAAAGCTTTAATTTCAGTGAGGATCGATTGTCTTTTCTGTAGACATCCTGATACATATGAAAGGGAAAAAAAGGAGGAATGTGAGCTTATTTTCGTCAGAACCATGGATTTTCACGATTTCACTGACAGGATGTGTAATCTTAGATACGATGAGTGGCCAAGTGTGGTTCATGTTAGACTTCTTGTCGCTAAAGATCTCCATACTACAGATACTGTTTACCAGAAACAGCTCAGGATTAATTTTATAATATGGAAGACCATTCAACAAATGTTTGAGAAGTTATTTTCATAAGATCAAATGTGGTAGACCAAAAGCCTTTAATACTTTGAGAAAAACGACGAATGACAGTTTGTAATTAATTTGTTTGTAATTAAGCACAAAGCTACACAATAGGTTATCTGTGCTCTGCCCATCATGGGTATCGAAACCCGATTTTTAGCGTTCTAAGTCCGCAGACATACAGCTGTGCCACTAGGGGGTCTTACAATTGGATGACTTATAACAATGATGAAAGATTTGTAAAAGATTCAGACCTTGGAACTTACAGAGGATGAAACAAATCAGGTTATTGGTGCCTGTGACAAGGCTTTATTATGTTTATTCAAAGGAAAATTAAATTATGGTTTGAATTTGATTCTCTACAACATTTTTTGTAAATCGTATGTAGAAGCAAAAGTAGTTCTCTCAATATCCGCAACTATTAAATATCATACTCCGTGGATTTACTTTCAAGTCAGACTATAGAAAGGAACAAGTCAAAATATATATCCGTTTGACTGGAGATTGTTTGTGCAATTATTAAATGATCCCTAAACATACAGATATGCCACCTGCTCCCGTGTGAATAATGCCGAGGTGTTAGCTGTAAAACTCGATCCAGACTAAATGATAAGATACTGACGCTGACTAAATGCATGGATAAACCATGTAATAAAACTGGTATTAAAACACAAAATCAGGTTGATTCCAATAACCTGAAATAAAGCAATAACTAGATTTGTGGAATTTTCGAATAAATATTCACCATATCCCAACCCCTATATAATCGTGATTCGTGGCTTCATATTTCACTCATATAAAATCATACACACCACTGCATTTATACACAAGTCCCAGTTTTTCACGATTTTTGTAGGAAAAAGAGATGATAACCACCATAACTCCCTACAAAAAAAAAAAAAAAGACGCTCAAGTCTAAGGTCTCTATATGATTTTTTTCTTTTTTGTATATGATGTAGGGTAACTAAACAAAAATAAGAAACGTTTTTTTTATTTCTTCAAATTAGGCAATATATATATATTTATATATATCATATGGATAATACATTTCCATTTCTTTCTGGATCTTTAGCCAAAAATGGGAAATCCCATTTTTGAGAACGCTTCTTCATTATAATATACATTTAGAAACTGATAGACTGGAAGCATTCTTTCCTATTGCAGTTTGTCCATAGTAAGGCTTACATTTCTGTAGATTGAATGAAATTTCAGTTTTTCATGTTTAATTGTTGAAAACAAAAAAACAAAAACGACAAATTTTGGGCCAAAAATGAAGATGTTTAGTTGACTGAAGTTTAATTCATTTTCATTATGTTATACAATACACTTATACAACTAAAATAGAGTTTAGCTTACTCAAAATTCACCCATTAATAGCAAAGTTACAATGAATTTCCACTTTTTCGTGCATTTTCGTCAAAAACCCAACTTTTCCTCCAAAAATGGAAATTTCCGCACTACTTCGACTTTGATATGTTAAAAGAGATATTTAAATGGACGCAATAAACTTGATTCCGTTATTCGTTACCATGTCGATTTAATAACACTAAGATGATAGCCCTAATATATGCTTTCTCTCTTTCTCTACACGCTTAATATGCCTTCTAAAATAAAGTAATTCAGTAATTCAAAATCTTAATATTAAATATAAAAAAACTGATACACTTTTTCTAAAAATATTATGAAAATATTTCTGGTAGAAAATGCAGATTGACATATTTTATTTTCTTATTATACTATTTTAATGAGCAAATAAAAAAATAGTTCACGCTATTTTAGATTAGACTCACGTTTTGCTTCTTGTGCGGCATCTTCCTTGGCTAACGTTTTAGGTTCGGTGGTAGATGTCGACGACGATGAGCGAGGTTTAGCACCAGTGACACTTTTGTTTTCAACAGTACTGCGGGCTATGGTGCTGCTAGGTCGACGTCTTGGGTTGAATCGAGGTGTGTCCCTGTATGGAACTTTTAGTACAAAATTAATCCTTGTAACAGTCAATGACTGCTACTTCTTAAGTCTAATTCATGAGGTTATCTTTTCACCTTATATGAAATTCATAGTTTAATAATAAAAAGTGTAAACATAGTCGTTTCCAAGCATTGTGATTGATAAGCCAAAGTTTTCAATATTGTATTAAATATTCAAGGAGATAAATCATTATTGTTCTACAATTTTCGATAGATATTCCTAAAGTTTTATTGTTGTTTTCTATGTACAAAGCTACCAAAAATGGGATATGTGCATTCATTCCACTACGGATTTTAGATTGTATGTCCGTAAACTTTCCGCTGACCCACTGGGGAACATCTAGAGTTAAAAAATGGCAAATACATCAAGAAATCCCAACCAGTGGTTTATAGATTTGTTTGAAAAAGTACATGAATAGGTTTATAGACTATTTCTTCTTCGAAACGCCCCCCAGTGGCACAGCAGTATGTCTGCGGACAAATAATAATCCAGTATTTATCCTTCCTATAATGTTTAATTCTTGATTAAAACAATCCAGTTTCTGTCATATCTTCTTTTCTTTTATATTCGAAGTTACAGATCTAAGTTGATCCAATATGTGATATACCCCAACTGTTCTAATGTTTTCAGACTCAGGTTAAATCAAATTTACTATGAGTAAACTGAGTAGTGTTGTCTTAAAGTAAATTCGATACTTATTGTCATGGTAACGCCTGATACCATGAATTTTTATCCACTGATCGATAGTTTGTCTGACATTACATCACAAGAGGACTGGTAATGTTTCATTTTTTACAAATGTTTCGTTATTGGCCCTATATAATATTATTACCAGTCCTCTTGTGATGTAAAGTCACACAAACTATCGATCAGTAAATTCAATATTGACAATGTTTGATCCGATAGGTAATCCCAAATGCTCACCTAATATTTATTATTACTAATCTGGTGGATATTACATGAAATTGTTCTAATGTCTACAATCTAAGATACTTAGTGTTTAATAAATATTGTATTCAGTTTAATCTCTTGTAATAATAAGAAAATTCTTCACGAAGAGTTCTGACAGACATTATGTATAATATAATATTTACCAGGTTTTGTGAGCACAAAATGTCTTTTATATCTTATATCTAATATCATATTTGCCAGGGTTTATGAGCACAAAGTTTCTTTTTGTGACCGATGTGTAATACAATATTTACCAGGGTTTGTGAGCACAGACTTTCCTTTGTAACTTCTATATAATACAATATTTACCAGGGTTTTTGAGTACAAATTTCCTTTTGTAGCTTTAACCCCGCTAACAGCGAATTACCCAACTGATGACCAAAGGCAGAATCGTCATAGAGGTTTTGATGGTTGGCCTGTTATTCATAATTAAAAATTATTAATATTAATTGTTGTTGTAGATCTTTATAAGCATTCCTGGTTTTTCATGAATATATTAAGATGAAAACAATGGTCTTATCATCACTAGTCTTTTTTGCCTTAGTGGAGTTTACAAGTAGGTGAAATAAGAAAATATTTTATCACCTGCTGTGGTTCAGTTTATGATAAAGATTAACGTATCTTGTTGTATTTTCACATCGTATTTGAATATCTCAGCTAATTTGAACAACACTTCTGAATACTTACTAAAATCATCTGTCTTGTGATTTTTGATCAGTTCTGCAAGCTGGAAATTTCCCGCTATCACAGCAACCTGATAAGGATCCTGGTTGGCATAATTTAGAGCTTCTTTGTTCACACCTCGAGAAAGCAACACCCGAGCACACTCTTGTTGGTCGTTCACTGCGCAGATGTGAAGCGCTGTATTCCCACTCGCATTCTGACAGTTGAGATCAGCACCGTAGAACAACAAGAGTTCCAAGTGGTGGACTCGGCCATGCTTACAAGCCTAATGAGAACCAAAGTCAATGTAATCTCTGACTGTTATTATATAAATGAGTGTTATACTAGCTTCTATTTTGAAAGTTCTTTTTTCTTATTTATAAGAACCTTGCTATGCAGAACGTTTTACAGGATTCAAAGTAGTTATTTTTTTATGGACAGAAACTACCAGTGGACGGGTTTTGGACAACGTTTCGGTCTCCGTACTGACGCCTTCTTCAGATCAAAATGTTCTAGGTAGTGCCTATCTATTAGAAGTGTTGTAGGTATTTACTGTACATATAAGCCTGCTTGAAAGACGTACACTAACTAAACCTTCACTCAAAGAGGATTAAAAATAGTTTTGTTATCACTTACGTCTGTTTATAATGACTGAATATCACATGAAGAGCTCGTTAAAAATTAAAAACAATGTTGCCTTATTTTTATACCACGTTAAGTCAGACAGCAGTATGTATTCACAAAACTCATAAAGCCATGCCATTATAATTTAGTACAACTTTTGATCACTCACTCCTTTCATTTATTTTGTTTATAAACAAATAACTTTAATCCTTAATGAAAAATAAGCATATTACACAGTTGTAATTATTAACTAATGTTTACACTGCAACAAGTTTAAAAATCATTATTGTCCGGAGGAGGAGATTAATAATTAATTTTTCTATCAATAAATATATCTTTAGGTGGAGAAATTATTCTATTGACTTTTTATTGACACCCCATCTTTAGCTGTTTTCATGACTAGTAATAAATATTTAAACAAACCTGATGAACTTCCTGCCAGCCTTGGAGATCTGCTGTACCAAGGACTGCATGTTCATACAAAAGCAACTCTGTCAGTCGGTGGTCACTGCCGTATAGAACGCTATAGTAAAGTGGTGTCAATTTACGGTTATCCTTGTAATTAGGAGATGCTCCCAAATCCAGTAAAGTCTGTTAGAGAAAAAACATAGGTAAGTGTGAGGATACAGAAGTAAAAGATGAAAATTAAAGTAAAAGTCCATCAAATGCAAATAAGATTTAATTCGATAAAACACTGTTCAATTCTATGAACTCACTATCATGCTTTATCCTAGACAAAATACAAAGATTAAAAGACGTTTAAAAGCAAAATTTACCAATGTTACAAAATTTTGACCGTTCAAACATGAACGAAACTTAGCAGGAAAGAAGATATTTAGCCATAAAACAATGTGCCTTCTAAAATTATATTGTATTAATAAGTAGTATAAAGAAAGAAGCAAGCCTGTAGACCACAGAAATAAAGTAACAAGTTCGTATGTCGCACTAAAACGAGGAAGCTATTTTACGACACAAATCTATAACTATCAATTTTAGTACTACTGAAGGTAAATGTACAACATTAGTTTTTATCTCAAAAAGCTTTGAATTACATAGGAGAAAAACATAATTAAATCTGTACTAGTTGGGTTTGGTTGTTGTTAAACACAATGCTACAGAATGGGCTATCTGTGCTTTCCCACCACGGGTATAGAAACTCAGTTTTTAGCGTTTTAAGTATACAGACTTACCGCTGAGCTACTTGGGAGGGGGCAGTCTATACTAATTGTCATAAATATGAAGTAGAAACTGTCAGGTTTAATAATTATAGGACGATTTCTATATTACGTTACTGTTAAGTGATTGTTTTAGAATTAGAAAACAAACAATTTAAGTAACGAACTTTGAGAGCTTCAATGTTATTCGCTTCTACAGCTCGATGTAAAGCAGTTAGTCCATCCAAGGTTGTGAAGTCCAGCCGTGCTCCTCCGTTGATTAGGGCCATGATAACATGACGAGGATGTCGTAGGGTGGTTGCTAGCGTAAGGGGAGTTTCTGAGAGAAAGCAAATCACAACATTTTTTATTGATAATTTACATGCGTAAATTTCTTCTTTAATACAAAAAATGACGTACAACAAGTTAAGTAACTACATTTATACGATATATGTATATTTTTTTTTAATTGAAACATAACGTTATTCTGGCTGTACTGTAATCCCATGCATGATTTATATTGATCTTGCCCAATTTCGACACATGGATATCTTATATGAAGTCACTCTTCTACACTGTTTCGAAACTTGTATTAAGACAATTATTTAGAAATATTGAATTTATTATCTGTTCCAAATCAAGTTGTTTGTTTTCTTTAGAAATGATCAACCATTCCACAGACATATGGTAAGAGACATAAATTTTCGTTTGTTTGTTGTTAAGCACAAAGCTCCATAACCTGTGCCCAACACAGGTATCGAAACCCGGTTTTTAATGTTTCAAGCCTAAAAACTTACTGCTGAGCCATTGGGAGATACACATAAGTTAGGTACAACGACACAATAAACACTTTTCTTTGAACGGTTCATCATTTTGCAAAATCATTATTTAACTATTATCGTTTTCCTTGTACAAATGAAACACGAAAGATTGTTTTACGAAAAACCTAAATTATCATATCTAAAAATTAACGTATTTTGCCGTTCTTGCATGCTCCATTTAATACTCCTAAACCTAAGCAATAGCTCCACAATGGACTTATAGTGAAATATATTTCGTCTTTGTTAGTTTTCGAGAGCAACGAATGATGTAGTTATTGTTTTGTCCTTTTTTGTTTGTTTTTTGGTAAAACATGTGGATAATTCAATATTAGAATAACCCAAAAATAATTTACAGATTTAAACTTGGACAGGTAAGTTCTAAATTTGACTTCAGCACAAAGTAGAGTTAACCCTAAAGCAATTTTCTACATTCGCAGATTGTCTTCATGATTATTGCTGTGATCATAGAAATTGACCTTGGACAAAGCACTTTGGATTTATGAAGATGATAAATATGATTCGAATCTTACTTTTATTTCGATATAAAGTTGTAATCCTTCCATGGCATGGGAATAAATTTCCATCTATATATCATCGATCCGATGATACACCAAATGGTTACAGATATTAGTTATTTTAATAACAGACAAGATTTAAACAATGAACATGTAGTAAAGCATCTACGGCGTTGTTTAATGACTTCAGAAAGACGTCAAAACACCCTTTCCAAAAGAAGTCCAACAAATCATTACCTTCCAGCCATATTTAATTCTTACTTGAAACAATAAAGACAAAATTAGATGGTATACTGACCCACATATCTGAGCTAAAAACTTTTTATCACAAGAGTTGTTTTATTCTTGAATTTGTTACTGACTCTGAAGCCGCAAACTTTGCTGTGTCATCAGGGTTTCCAAAATATAGCTTTAAATATTAAAAGTTACCGATACAATGTCATCTTATACCGTCCTTCACCAGCTTTAACAGTTTTTAATGCGATATAAAATGACGCAGAAATAGAGATAAAAGACCAATTATGTATTCAGAGTGGAGAAAAGTTCGAAAATTTTTTATCCTGAACTAAGAGTAATCAAGAATTTAGGGAAACCCGAAACTTTTGAGCAAATCAGAGTATGAAAATACTTTTTTTTGGTAGAAAGCATACTTGTCGAATGTTATTTTATCACTATCCAATGCTCCTCTGCTTTGATTTCCTAGCATAAACAGGAGTTTGTGTTTAAATAAGTTGTCTGTGAAATTTATGATTATGATTAAATATAATATTAAAATATAAGCTGGTACGTATAAACAAATAATGAAAAAATATCACATACATCATACTCCAAATTATCATCAAACAACACAGTACAGAAAAAATAATATTGGATCGTTACAACATTAAACTAACAATCCGAACATATAAATAATGTACATCTTAGTTTTGCTTTAGTTACTCACCTTTAGTGTCTGGACATTGAATATTTGGATCCAATCCTTTATGAAGAAATTTCTCGATTTTCTCAATGTTCCCATTTTTTATATGCTCCGTGAAACGACGCAGCGTGCTCTGAGTAAAGAATAATCATGAAAGTTATATTTGACCTAAGCGTCATCGGGGGGGGGGGGATAGTATATATATATGTGTATAGAGAGAGA